TTGAGTTTTGGGATCCAACAAAGATGCAGCTAAGTGTAGAGGTTTAATAGTATTTAAATGTCTTTCTTTAAACTTATTCAGTATTATTTGCACTTTTTTAGTAGAAATAATCAGTGATTCTGAGATATAACTACAAAAAGTATTTTGAATTTCATAAAAAGCATCAAATACATGATTAATTATATTGCTGTCCCCTTCTAAAATTGTAATCCATTTTACAATAGGGTTAAGTAAATTAATAAGTTTATCAATTTTAGTCCAAAATACAGCATCATCTAAAATTAATTTGTTTCTGTTTATTCCTATCATAGAAGAGCCAACAGCATGAACAGCTAATGTTTGTAATGATAATTTACATTCTTTCATTGAAGTTAACTAGTCTTTCGTAAAAATAAGACCAACAATTTGAATATTTTTACCTGCCGGCATTTTAAAAGTATTTTGAAAAGTAAAATAACAAATAAAATAACTGTGAAAAACGATACTACTATAATCAATTTTAATCTAAGCCCTAATATATTGCTTATCAATAATATGTTGATAAACATATCAGTGTAATCAAGATATAAATACAATAACGTTATCTCTTTCACTAGCACTCCCATACTTTAGTAATTATAATAAATAAAATGTATTAGTTGTTATTAAAGAAATATTCCCGAGTGGTAATAGAATATTTCCGGAATATTCCCCATTCCCAGGAACGTTCCCTGGGGAATATTTCTTGTGGCACATCACTAATCCTATTAAAAGATTAAAGAAGGTGTGTTTATAGGACAACAAATAAAAAAACTAATGAATGATTCAAAGTTTGTGTTCACTTAGTCAAAAGTCGAGGTTGAAGCATGGTTCGGTTGATAATTCTCTTTTGAGAAATTTTAAAAGCTTAAATAATAGAAAAATAGTGGACGGTTTATTAGTAAACTATTCAAAAATAAGTAAATGGTATTTTTTATAATTCTATTATTTTGGCATAGAAAGATACGTCAATCGAGTGTAGATGATGTGGGAGATCGTGTCAAGTGGAAGTTTAGGATAAGGGTGACCGACCCCAAGTAGTTGGGATTAAGGCGAGGAAGAAGAAGAGAAGAAGCATGAACATTTTTAATTTTCTTAATGCTATTACAAAAAATTTTATATTTTTAAAAGAATTTTCATTTTTTTTTTTTAACGCAATTCCAACTCTGTAAAAATTTGCTGCAACCACGCAAATAGTAGAACATTCTCAATTAAAATTTATCCTAATCAACTATAGGAAATAAATATAAGTTATTTAAAAAATTGACATTTTGTTCAAAATTAATATTGAGTTATTCCGAAAAATTTTTTTACGTTTTTACAAATATTGAAGAATTATATTACAAAACTCTTAATATTGAGAAAAACTGTTTTATTTTTTCAAACCCGTATAACTCTTTCTTTCTTTTTTATATCAATATTACAAAATAACGTACCATATTTTTTTTATTATAACTTAAAGTAAAATATCTTTTGAATATATTGTTGATAAATTTATTTTTACTATTATATTTCATGTAAAAATTTGAATTTTTTTTTGATATTACGAGAAAAAATTTTTTAAAAATGTCGTGGTAAATTTTAAAATAGTAAATAAGAAGAAAGTCTGATCTTACTCTATAAAATATTTCTGTGATTTTGAAAAACTAACGACACATTAGAGCGGTATATAGTAGTTGTTTAATTACTACTGAAGTTGGTAATTTCCGTTTAATTGGACTGGTTTATTTCATGGTGGCCATCAGCTCTGAAATTGCTGCTGACATTATCGATGCTTTTGATTTAGCTTTTAAAATAAGCTCCTTATGTCTTAGTGAGGTACTCAATTCAATACTTAGTTATCTAATGTCTTTTAAACTCAAGAAACACTTGAAAACGTATTCGTGAGGTCGATATCTTCTTTTAAACGTAAATGTACCGTTTACTGATGAAAATCACAAGGTTATTTTTGTAAATCAACCTACTTATTTATTTATGCACAATGTTCATTACAATTTCTAATGATTCTGTGCCAATTCCTATGCTTACTACGACATTATAGAATTTAGTAAACTTAGATTTAAATCTAAGCTAAAAATGTTTCTTAAACAATTAATTTACGTTATATTAATGAAAAATTATATTAGTATTATT